AAACCAACATTGATCAACGGCGTAGATGCAAACCCTAAGGCGGTGGAGGAACCGACGTACGAGACGGGGGCTAACATGTGGGGCCAGGGTCGACCGACCTGCAGCCTAGGTTGGCCGACCTAGGTCACTTCCAGGTGGGCCCTGTCTTCTGTGGGTCGCCTTCTCGTGTCTTCTAGAATATTTTTGAGTTGGTTTCGCAACGGAATAAGCTTTTTAGCCCGATATCCTTAATATCTTTTCTCCTTTTTCTGATAACCCCCTGCAGAAATACAGATTCACCAAAACTCATGGAATTCTATTAGTTTAAACCTTATTCTATGTTGGTGATTCCTTTTATACCCTTTTTCATGTCTTATTGATGGTAAATTTCGTATGATAACTACCGTCAACAAACGGTCTCACAGAGCTGTCACCCCTGGAGCTACCACAACTATATGTAGGATTGGGCTCAAACTCAGGTAAACTCTAGCCTAAACACCATGTCTATGCTAGCAATTACTACTGTAGTCTCACGTAAAAACTAGAGCACTCAATACGAGCGGAGATCCCATGCCAAAGTATGAAAACTATACTTGACCAATCACATGAAAGGTATAAAAGCAAATAGAGAAGATAAATATATGAAAGCACAAATCTTGCAAAGGTAAGATACAAAGATATACCAGACCTCCGAGGATTTCTCTAGATCCTAAGCACATGCTCCGCTCTCCCTAACTCTCAAGGTCCTAATCTACTGCATTGGAAAGTTTAGCCCTAATCCTCCTTGTGTTGAGTCTTGATCTGAATGAGAGATTATGCTTTCATGGGACACCTCTCAATTCATGGATGCCTTTGCCTTAGGGGTACAGGGCTATTTATATAGGTCGGAGCGTCAATCGTGAGCCCTCGGATCAAACCGACTTTAATCAACGGTGGAGATGCAAACCGTAAGGCGGTGGGGAACCGACATACGAAGCGGATCGTGATTGGACTCCGAGGCAGGCCGGCCGGCCCACTTTCGTGGTCGCTCGAGCCTAACTTTGGTGGTTTGCCTTGTGGTGCCTTCTAGATCCTTCCGGTATTGGTGTTCGTGCGGAATTAATATCTTTTCATCCCAAGCTCTAAATATAACAAATAATATATCTGTTTCGATCGTCTTGACGAGCTACAGATCGTCTTGACAAGCTCTTCGTAATGGTGTACTCCAATTCATCATTTGAGACATCTTTGTACTGTGAAAAATCAATTATCCTGCAAAACAAGTGAAAACATCAAAACTTGTGGAATTCATTAGTTTAAACTCCTATTCCTATATTTGGTGATCATTTTCATGCATTTATACAAGTTCATTGACGGTTTATGATAAGTGTTAACTACCGTCAACAGGGGCTATGGCTCCGAGGGTTGGACTCAGGCCTTTGTGTGGTAGCTTCGCGCGAAGCCCCTGAAGCTCCGTGACACCCAGCGAAGCGTCGTCCTTCGGGACTTGAAACAAATTCTTGAGAGTGCGGGTTAACTTGGCTGAATGCATGGGAGCTGATGCTGGTCCCCAACATGTTTTACATTTAAACTTGCATTTCAATTTTTTAGGGTCATATTACCCAGTACAACTAAAGAGTGATGTGTTTCGCACTGAAACTTGCTTTTCAGATCTTTAGTGTCATATTACCCGGTAGGACTGGGCCATAGTTTTGGCGGTAACGAGTTGTCAAATATTGTGTCACACTAGAAATACTTTACTTTTTGATGCAGAAAAAAAATGAAAGAACTTTATTTATGCATATTGTATTCATATTGAATGGTACATGAAAATCTTTTCAGCAGAGACCAGCAGGACCTCCATTGTTGCCTCTTGCAATAAGCAAGAATTTTAGGTGCTTAAAACCTTCTGAAATTGCCAAGGAAGCAAATTTCAGCCATACATCTACGTAGAGACTTACATGGATTGGTAGAAATATCATTGTTACCGTTATATGTTATGTTTTTAGTGACATTATTGTCTTCTTTACAATATCTTTCATCCATTGATAGCCTATGTGAACCTGTGGCGTTGATGGTGGATCCGTATGATCTTCTTACCGGCATGTTTGCCTGGGCCGAATTGTAATTAACTTTTTTTTTCAAAAGACCGAATTGTAATTAACTACAAAGTGTTTCAATTTCATCACCTTCGTTTTAAATCTGCAGTGGTCTAATTAAGTTACCATGTATGTGATATTCCCGTAGATACTATTTTGTTCCTACAGTATCATCTAGCTAAGTTGTTGACTTGAGCAGGTTGTTTTGTGGTTCATGTCCCACGTTAAAGGCTAAAATAGTAAAATGAAAACCTTAGTTATATACTCCGTACGCATGTGATGGAAGTGGATCCTTCAGCGCTCTCAGTTCTACACATTATTAATTTGCTCATGGCATAGCATCCTCTGTTTTCTGTTGGTTGCCTTGCTGATTTGCTGTTGGGCATTGGCCTGCAGCCTCGCCACCCGTTGCCGCGTGGCTGCTGCCCGCTGGCCCGTGGCACCGACGCTTGCTGGCTCACCCACCCTGCGCCCCTCGCGGGCCTTGCGCAGCTACTTTTTTTTAAGACAAACCGGGATTGTATTGCACATGTATAACTTAAGGTTTACATTGCAGCCCTTACAATAGCACCCTTGAAGAAAAAGGAAAATTACATTGGAGCAGCCCCTCGACGAGCACCCACCGCACCACAGGTTGGAGGGGAAACACACGAAGGTTACAGCTTGAAGCCAAAGCCTTTCTTGACGAAGAAACATCAAAGTTTTCCATTGCCACAACGAGTAGCATGTCGAAAACATCAATATGCCGTAGATACATTGAACGTCCTAGCAGTAAAAGATGACCACCCGCCATCTCGTCGCCGAGAAACATGGAACTAGTCGCCACAAGCATTGCCGGCAACCCCAAGTCATCGGACGATAAAGCAACCGAATGGGAAAAAGACCACCTAAGCAGTTGCAAGTAAACCACCAACCCGATTCCTCATAATAGTAATAAGTAGACCTCCCTGGAGCCTCGCCAGAGAGCTCGCCACGGTGCCGGCCCCTAAGAAGATGAGGGAGGGACAAAAGAACTCACCAGCAAGATCTGGATATTTAGACGAACCACCAGATTCGGTGAGGATGTAACAAACCAGCCCTTCACCGCTGCGGAAACACACATCAACGAGGTGGAGAAGGGCCGGAGAAACTTATTTGCTAAAGGCGGTGCCGCCTCCCACTACTACACAAAATCTTTTACAGTGTATTTGGTTTTTGGGCTCTGAGGCGGTTGGGACGGTTGTCAGCCTCGGTTATTCGTGGCAGGGCAGCCGGCCCAGCAATCGCCTCGGTTATTTAACCGATGCGGACATTGTAAGGTAACTATTAAGCGGCACGGTTGCTTTAGATGGCCCACCTAACCGACGCTTTTGATACAAGGCAACCACCTCGGTTAACATACTGTTAGCCGAGGCAGTTAGCCTTATGTTGAGGCTATAATTGCAGCGCTCAACCGCCCCCACCCTTCTTCTCCATGGCTTTCCCGGATTAAAAAAAAATGTTTCCTATTTTTTTTTGGGACGGATTTGATAATTTTTGGAAATAGATTTGTAGGGTATCCGTCCGCTCTATAAATCCGATTTGTAGAGGGCGGTTGACATTTGTAGCCACGCTTCCGTAGGAGTGGCTGGCAAAACCGTCCCTACAAATGTTTATCAGCCACCCCCTAGAAAGTATGGGTGTAGTAGTGAATGTGGAGAACTTACATAAGGAAAAAAAACATAAATGAATTCCTTTGCCTAATCTTTGTGGACGACGACATGGGCTATGGACGGCACGCGAGGCATGGTAAATTATTGAGAGGAATCTGTGATGGTTTTGGTACGTATATATAAACATTTATTTATTTAATCTAAATTGTGGATTGGTTTCTTCATATATTTTTTAGGCGCAGCAGTGGTTTTGGTTTAGGACGGACCGGCGCATCGAGGTGCATCATAATTACGCAGCACTTGACACGTACATAATCCTAATACAAAGCGTTAGGTTGCATCGCTGTAGTAGTATTCAAGATGAACCTGTGGCCAGACGATCCATTCGTAGATCTATCTATAGGCCTTGCATGCATGCAATGGAAACAGACCAATTGAACTTATCAGCACGGCTACCAACCAAGTACAATGTTTTTCTCTCACAACAAAACAGCATTAGCCGGTTTATGATTTGCGGAAATCATCAGCCAAACAGCCCACACACGCTAGCGCTGCATTCGCACTGGATCGGAGTAATGGTGGTGCACGTTTCACATCTTTGCTTCTTGGCATTCTACTACTTAACTTGGTAATAACCTTACGTGCATGCTTAAGTAAAGAATATGGAGTGAGCATTAAAAAGGAGAAAAGCCGGCTCGGTGGAGGTCAGTTTTCAGGTAGGTGCAGGTTATATCCTACTTGCCTGTTTCTCTCTGGGGCATGATGGTGAGCAGTGGGAGCTGAAAAGGAAGCGTCAATCAACCGGAAACTCATCTAGCTGATTGCTTAATGAAACAAAAGTGATGACTGGAACACTGGTGCAAGATAGAACTTATAAGGCTTTTCCTTTATAAGACTATAAGAGATATATAGATAGATATAGATTTGCTTTTATCCTTTATCATGTGAGTAAAACACACACTAGTTAGTACACGCGCTAGTTCTTTGATCTTTGGATCAAAAGCTTAATGCGCAGGCAGCACATTTCTTTGAATGGAGTGGGGAGGGTATTTCAACCCACAATATTCTTAATTATTCTCCTTTAGATCTTGTTTGATGTAGTCGTATTCATATCAATCCAATATATGTGGATTGATGCGAATACGAATACATCCAAACAAGGCCTTACTCGGGCAACCATCACACATAGCTAGACCGTTTATTTATAATGAGATATAATTTCGCCAATTATATGGGCCACAATTCTATAAATATAATTTAACAACAGACGTGCCCGTTGTCCATGTCCAGAAGTATCCAGGGCCGTTGCACTTCATGTCCTGACGGCACGAGCCTCCGGCAGGTCGATGCTCCCAAACCCATTGTCCTCCAGCGAAGGGTGGAAGTCGTCGTTGCCGGGCCAGTTGTCGGGCGCCTCCCCCATGCGTTTCGGCAGGCCGAGGAACGACGGCGTGTGCGTCGTCTGCGCGCCGTAGATGATGTTCGGGAAGGAGCGGACGAAGCCCGGCTTGGCGGAGAGCTCCTTCAGCTCCTCCTCCGTCAGCCACGCGGCGAAGCCGGTGAAGACGGTCCGGTAGGAGTAGAGCAGCCTGGGCTTGCCTTGTGCCGTCGTCGTCGACGGCAGGAAGGAGCGGTGCCAGGCCTCTACAGCATCAGCATCGGCATCTTGGCCTCCTTCTGGTGGCTCGAGGAGGATGATGTACGTCTTGTAGCCGCCTTCGTCGGCTGGCTCGACGTGCGGCTCCCTCTCATCCAGCTCGGCGGTGGTGGAGGTGGACGCGACCACCGCCTTGAGCAGCTCGGCGTTGATGGACGCTAGCTCGACGTGCGGATCCCTCTCGTCCAGCTCGGCGGTGGTGGACGCGACCGCCGCCAGGAGCAGCAGCAGCAGCGCCATGCTGCTCGCCATGGCTGCGGGCGAGCGGGAGCAGTGGAAGATTGGTGCGCTGCGGGCGAGCGGGAGCGGTGGCTGGCGATCGGTAGCAGTGGAAGATTGGTGCGCTGCGGGCGAGCGGGAGCGGTGCCTGGCGAGCGGTAGCAGTGGAAGATTGGTGCGCTGCGGGCTGCGGCAATCAAGTACATGGGGGTATATATATATACACTGTACTACTACCACTAGTAGAGAACAGACCTTTGATCCTCGGCTAAAATGGGCTCTAGTCCCGGAATTTTTTGCGCCCGGGACTAGAGATACCTTTAGTCGGTTGGTGGCTCCGCGGGACTAAAAGCGACTCTGCGCCCAGCACAGGTGGCGGGGACCTTTAGTCCCGGTTGGAGCCACCAACCGAGACTAAATATACTTTACTCGGTTGGTGGCTCCAACCCGGGAGTAAAAATCTACTCGGGCCGTGGCTGCGCCGGGGTTGAAAGTTACCTTTAGTCCCGGTTGGATCCACCAACCGGGACTAAATGTTCTCCTTTATAAATCGGCCGTCTCCTCCTTCCTCCCCCGAGCCCGAGCTCAAGCACATTTTGAAGCTCACTGCAGTAGTGTTCTTGCTTCCTCCCTTCCTCCATTGTTCCTCCATCCATTATTCGATTCCTCCATCGATTTCTTGATTCCTCCGTCGATTCTTGAGTTGTAAAGGTTACCAATCTCATACTCTCATTTTTCACCATTGTCTTATCTCATTTTGTTCACTATATATATATATGGTTCTTTATTTTGGTTTTTTTCATTTGTAAGCAATTTGAGCTCAAAATCACTTCAAGCTTGCATATTTACATGAAATAAGGTTAAAGTAGCTAGTTGAACTTGCGGACCGTGTTCATCTCGGCGTGAAGCACGTTCTCTGCTTAAGGATAGCAGACGTCAAGGAGGAGCTTTGATTCTACGAGGGAGAGCGGCAATGGTCGTGGAAGACCGTGTTCCCTTCCTCGTAGAATTGGAGCTCTTCCGTGGTCAAGGCACGGTGCCGTCACCTGGAGAAATGCTCGCCGAGATGATCACGTAAGCAAGGTCAACTAATACGGATGGTTATTTATTCACATGTCACGATATAATCGCGATGAGTGCATCAATCACCGTACCCAAGCGTAGTATATATATAAATATAAACTTAGAAAATAGTTAGAAAATTATAGAAAATCCATACTAGTTGAACTTGCGGACCGTGTTCATCTCGGCGAAACACGTTCTCTGCCGAAAGCGATAGCAGACGTCAAGGAGGAGCTTTGAACGAGGGAGAGCGGCAGCGGTCGTGGAAGACCGTGTTCCCTTCCTCGTGGGGAATTGGAGCTCTTCCGTGGCCAGAAATGCTGGTGCCGTCCGGTGGAGAAATGCTCGCCGAGATGATCATGTAAGCAAGGTCAACTAGTATGGATGGTTATTATTCACACGTCCCGATATACGTAGTAGTAATGCATTATGTGTGTACATTCCCATTCTTACATTAATTTGCGAAAATATCATATGAATTACTTACCTGCCGCATGATAAAAAGCGAGAACACAATGACCATTAAAAATATCATTGTTTAGAGATCTAGATAATTTTATAGTTTGTTAATTTTATTTGTTTATAAAGAAGAAATTTATAGTGTATTAAAAAATGAGTATAGAGAGTAGATGGTGGCTGCTTAGGGTCCTCGGCCTCTCATGGGTTTCCAAAGCGACTTAGGCAGGCCTTCCTCTCATTCCATGCGGCAAGTGTCGTGATGAGATGAAGATTGTGATGGAGTACCGAGTGAAGAAGGAGGGTCCCAACAAGGATCGTATCTTCTACAAGTGTCAGGATCGCAATGTGAGTTATTTTATCGTATTTAATGATTATGGTTAGTTTATACCTATTTTCATGATGGTTGTGATTAAAGTTCTAATTTTTGTTTTAATTTGATTGGGATGGCGGTGGGCGATGTTCGGGGCTTCTCTTTGGGAGGAAGAGTATGTTGAACTCGTGCAAAAATATCTTGCACAACAGCGGATCTGGCTGACTAATGAGGCGGTGATCCGGTAGAAGAAGCCCAAAGATGTTGCACAATCGGGGATCATGCATTTTAGTTGAGATTGGTCATGAAATCCTTGTGCTCTGAAATGTATTTTAGCTTTAGTTCTTTTAGTGGTAGTTGGGATTGTCTACATTGTAGCGATGCTTTCATAAATTTGTATCTTTTGTGGTGGCACGCATGTTGTATAAATAATTAATTATGATCTAGGTTTTAATATGATATTTATGTCATGTAATGCGATGATGAGCCGTCATTGGATGTATAATCTTGATCGCCGCTCACAAGAGTTCATTGATGGCGTGCATTCTTTATTACGTTAATTAAAAGAGACCCGGATGACGGTTTCATGTCTTTGCCCATGTGCCATATGTAAGAATACGGTGGAATATCCTTGCTCAAGGACTCTTCATTCACACTTGTTCAAGTCGGGTTTCATGCCAAACTATATTTGTTGGACAAAGCACGGAGAAACGGTGTTGTAATGGAAGAAGATGAAGAAGAACAATGGGACGACAATGATATTATTCACGATGGTGCGTGCTTCAATGATCTTTGCAATGGGAGAAAAGTGAAGAAGAGGTAGTCGCGAGAAGATGAGTTGGTGATGATCTTTGTCGAGGTCATTCGTGATGCACAAAGAGAATGTGAAAGTGAAAAGGAGAAGATCAAGTTCGACGGATGCTAGAAGATCACAAGAAATTGTTGTACCCAACTTGTGATGCGAGGCGAGAAAAAGTTGGGAACCACACTAAATTACTTTGCAATGGAAGGCAAAGAATGGTGTATCGACAAGGGATTTGGAGAGTTACTAAAAATCCAAAAGAAGATGCTTCAAGTACAATGAATTGCCCGCCACTACCTCTGAAGCAAAACAAGTTATACATCCTATGGGGCTAGAAATAGAGAAGATACATGCATGTCCTAATGACGCATCCTATACCGTGGCAAAAGTACGAGAAATTGGATGCATGCCCGGTATGCCATGCGTCATGATATAAGATCGGCGAGATGACCTGGTGATGTTGAGGGCGAACGTCCACGTAAGAAAATCCCTGCCAAGGTTATGTGGTATGCTCCTATAATACCACGCTTGAAGCGTCTGTTCGTAGAAACAAAGAACATGCAAAATTGTTACGATGGCACAAAGAAGACCGTAAGGTAGACAATATGTTGAGACACACCTATTTGATGGGTCCCGGTGGAGAGCAATCGTGAGAGAATTCGGAGTTTGCAAATGACGCAAGAAACTTAAGGTTTGCTTTAAATGCAGATGGTATCAATCCTTTTGGAGAAGCGAGCAGTAGTCATAGCACTTGGCTGTTACTCTAAGTATCTACAACATTCCTCCTTGGTTATGCATGAAGCGGAAGTTCATTATGATGCTGTGCTCATCAAGGCCGAAGCAAACGGCAATGACATCGATGTGTACGAGACCACTTATTGATGAACTTCTCATTTTGTGGAATAAAGAAGGTGTACGTGTGTGGGATGAGTACAAAGCAGAACACTTTGATCTGCGAGCATTGTTGTTTCGTAACAATCAATGATTGGGCTGCTCTAAGTAATCTTTCGGGACAGTCAAACAAGGGATATAATGCATGCACACCTTTGCCGGTGATATTAGAGGTGTATTCTTGAAAAAATGTCGAAAGGTCGTGTACCTTGGCCATCGTCGATTTCTTCTGCCGCAAATCACCCCGTAAGAAAGAAAGGTAAGCATTTTAAAGGAAATCGAGACCACGACCAAGCCTGCATAACCGAACCGGTGAGGATGTACTCGATATGGTCAATGATGTGAAAGTCGTCTTTGGAAAAGGACATGGAAGCCAACCTATTCCGAAACGCTACGGTCACGCACCCATGTGGAAGAAAAAGTCCATATTTTGGGACCTACCCTATTGGCAAGTCACGGAGGTCCGTGTATTTCGATCGACGTGATGCACTGACGAAGAATCTTTGTGTGAACCTCTGCTAGGCTTTATGGGTGTGTATGGAAAGCCTAAGGACACATTTGAAACCACGACACGGGACTGCGTTGTTTGAGAGAAAGAGACAACCTACATCCAGAGAAGGCAGGATGATGGGCGCCATTACTTACGTCCCTGCTAGCTACACTCTAAGCAAAGAGGAGAAGGAAATCATGTTTGAATGCTTAAACAACATCAAGGTACCATCTGGATTCTCCTCGAATATAAAGGGTATTATAAATGTGCGAGAGAAGAAATTACGTAACTTAAAGTCCCATAGTATCACGTTCTCATAGCGTAATTACTTCCGGTTGCATTAAGAGAATTCTACCTCCAAATGTACGTCTAGCCACCAGTAAAGCTATGTGCATTCCTCAATGCAATTTCTCGAGAAGGCAATTGATCCAACTGATCTAGCTAAACTACTGAGAATGATGTGGTTCAATGTCTAAATCGACTTTGAGTTAGTGTTTCCTCCTTCCTTCTTTGATATTATGACACACCTCAGTTCACCTAGTCAAGGAGATTTTCACTCTCGGTCCTGTGTTCCTACACAACATGTTCCCCTTAGAGATTCATGGGAGTCCTAAAGAAATATGTTCACAACCGTGCTTTCGCTTGAAGGAAGCATCGCCAAGGGCTATGGAGCAGAAGAGGTCATTGAGTTCGTGTTGACTTTATTCCCGACCTTGACTCGATTGGTGTTCTGAATCGAGACATGAGGGAGACTAAGCGGAAAGGGACACTAGGGAGGAAAACATATATTGGTACGGATGATGATTATTTCAATAAAGCGCACTACTACAGTTCTCTAGAACTCCTCTTTGGTAGATCCGTATATTGAGACACACAAGGATCTCTTACGATCCGAAGTTTCTGGGAAGGCTGAAGCTTGGATTACGCATAAGCACATGGAAACTTTCGGCGGTTGGTTGCGAAAAAAATGTCAAGGTGATGAGAGCATCCATGAGCAAGCTGTATTTATTGGCTATGCA